ATATATATATATATATATATATATATATATATATATATATATATATATATATATATATATATATATATATATATATATAAATATATATATATATATATATATATATATATATCGAAATAAAGTCGATATATATATTACATCGAAATAAAGTCGAAAATTTACAGTCTCAAACTACGTCTAGTCTTAAATTATATATTGAATTCTCAAGATGCCCTGTTGTCCTGTGATGATATATATATATATATATATATATATATATATATATATATATATATATATATATATATATATATATATATATATATATATATACAACGCAGAGTGAGAGCATCTGTCATCTGGGCGGAAAGAAGGATTATCCAAGCGAAGCGAAACATGATAAAGAAAATAGTAACTGAAAATGGATTATTTAGCTATATTTACAACAATGTTTAATATATTAAAAGGATTAAGGTAGAAAGGGAAAGACCAGACATGTAGAAGAAGATTAAGTTAAATTGTTATGTGAACAGTTGTAGTTCTTTACTAGCTTTAAGTCCAGTGTTAAGAAAAGGTTTGTTTGAGATGTCAGCCAGTTTTGCAGATTAAATATAGTTCTCGTTGTTTTGAATCCTTTTTTAAATGTTTTCGAGATAAATTTTCTACCTTTGACCATTTGGACAAAGATATGGAAGTCGTACGTGTTATTCTCGCCCGTGAAAGACGACAAACGAATTTTAAAACCTGAAGAAATATGAGAACAGACGAGAAACTTGACGAGAAACATCAACAGACGAGAAACATCAACATTTCCGATTTATACCCAATTTATTTTCCTTTTGACGTTAGGTAAAACATTGCACGTACGGCACGTTAGGTAAAACATTGCACGTACTGTACACGTACACTTTATGACGTCATTTCTGACGGTGTTTGGGTGGGGAGGGGGGTGTAAACTACTGAAGTAGTACCATAATTAATAATAAATTTAGTAGAAGGGTTGAAACACTGGTCACTTGGTCGTTTGACGTTTACCAAGAGTAAAGCCTATCTCCTTGGAGATTTCCGATCGCAGATCAGAAATGCATCTCAAAGGTATTTTTGATTTTATGGAGGAACTTTTGATTATTTAAATTTTTAGAAATTTAATTTTGAAACTATAGTCTATACAGGCTCCAACATATCACCGCTTTTTCTTAAATCTGTCTACAAATCCTAACATCTCACGAGTGCCGAACTTCGTCACATGGTAGGCTACTCTTGTTAGACATATCGCGAAAAGTGCGAAGAAAGGCTGCTGTTAAAAATCATTCAAGAAAAGGTTTATTTGTGTTATTTATTCACTAGATATCTTTGTTCGTCTAAGAGAAAGCTAAATACGTAAAATAATCAAATAATGTCGAAATTGTTAAATTAGAAGCATTTAAAAAAAACAACTGACCAGTGTTTCAACCCTTCCTGTTAATTGATCTATTATTAACGATACTATTACCTCGTACGCGCCCGCACTACATACCTGTTGAGGATTCTTTACTACCTGACTTAGATATTTTTTTTGCTTTTTCTCCATTAATATTCTTGCGAAGAATTTATGCAAATCCACACAACGATCACTTTTAATTTCTAATGGTCCGCTTCTCAATTCGTAGGTACTGATGACAACTATATAATAATCAATCCGTATGTAAGGATAGATAATATGCGGGACAGGGTAGCAGAACTGCACAGTGATTGGATCACAGGATCTGTTTGCATGAAGTTTTATTTTTACCTCTATGGAACTCAAGCTGGACATTTAGAAATCTTCGTCTGGACCAAGGAAAAGATTCACCACGTCGTTTTCCATCGCTATGGAAATCATGGCCACAAGTGGAATCTTGCCCAGGTTTATTTGGATTTCGCTCCATTCGTCTATTATAAGGTATTGTACTCAAAGCTCTTTTTTGTACCTTAATTCACCTAATACAAAAATGAGAGAAATATTTAAACTGTAGTTTTGTGGCATTCCCAACAAAAAGACGAATTAGGTTATTTTTATTCCCCAGACCATTCCTTCCACTTCCAAACTCCAACCTCGCAAGCCGCACGGCGGTACAGCAAAGACTCTGGTTCCCTCTGTTTACGTCAATCCCTAAAAATTAGGTGTAATTCGAATTGCCACCTCTTTGCACTTAGGGAGAAGTGTTATAGGGGGAATTGCAACAAAAAGGCAGCAATGGCCAAAAGCGAAAACAAAAACGTTTATAACTATTCTTATGGAAACAAGGCCTTTTAAGCTCTTTATTAACTCATATTATGGGTTTTGTCTGTTTTTGTGTTATCTTTTATAAAATATTAATATGTCAGCGCTTGAAAGCTTTTTACACCTATTTGATATAATTTGCATGGTTTGAGGTCTGTTTTACACCCTGAAGTGGGGCCGTTTATTTATCAACGCAAAGAAAATAAAGATCGACTGCACACTTATAACAGTATTCAGTAACTCTCAAGCTATGCATGTCACCGCGAACGGAAACTGTAAAGATGATTTATCCGAAATCCGTTTTGTTTTCGCAATTCAAAAGTCGCCTTTTTGGTGGTAATGTCGATAACAAGTATTGGCAAAAACCTGTTCTTAGAGCTAGCGAAACTAAATTGTGGAACACTTGCGTGTGATGACAGACTTTCGATTCTTCCTAAATTAACATTAAATTAATTAAGGATAGGGCGAAAAAAAAACACCCAATTAATCGAATGGTTCAGTAGAGCTACTGGAAGGATTGCAGCAATGATAAACAACTTTGACATAGCTGCAGGGATTAAAGATAGGTTGCAGTCCCTTCTGCGCATGTCTGTGATTGTTTTTGCCTGGAGACTCCACCGGAAGTTGGCATCTCGTTTTATACTCGGTCACATTTCCGGCAATAAAACGCACGTTGTTTTTTTTTCTTTTCGCAAGCGAAGTTATAAATGACGAAGGAGTGAAGAAGTTTCCAAGACATTTTGCCCTTTTTTGAGCGACAATCCGTCAGATAACGAGTTATTGAGGCAACCGATGACAAGTAGGAAAAAATACTACGATAGCAGGGATGCTTCCAAAGTGTATCAAAGTGTATTAACTTTATTGTTTTCCTTGATGGAGAGCGTGCCATTTCTGTTTGCATTTCCCCATTATAGTAATGTACGTCTATTAATCATTAACGCACGTATTACGATTAGTTTATATTTAGAATATGGACATTATATATTCAGTTGTTTACATGTAGCCGAGATATCAAGAAGTCTATGAAATAAGAGAACATTATAATGGCGACGAAGATAAACGTATTCTATTAAACGAAACGATGGTGGAAGTGCAGGCAGAGCCTCAACCACTGCAGCAAGCGGCTGTACAGATCATGCAATCTGTAACAATAATTCCAATGCCAGAATTTTGCCCAGATGCAAAAATCAGAACAAGCCTTTCGACAAGATGGAACAATTGGCAGTCAGACTTCGAAATGTAGATAACCGCAAGCGGAATAACGGATCCAAAGCGAAAACGTGCACTCTTGCTATATCAAGCCGGACCGAGAGTTCGCGAGATTTTTAAACAACTCCCCGAGACAGGAACTGATACGGACTACAACATCGCGAAAGAGAAATTAAAGGCTTACTTCGACCCTCAAAAGAATCGGCGGTACGAAGTTTATCGTTTTCGACAAACAGCTCAAGAACACAATGAGACATTAGATCAATTTCACACCAGACTTAGAACAATGTCAGAAACCTGTAAATTTTCAGACGTTGAATTTGAAATCGAAGAACAAATCATTCTAGGCGGAAATTCATCGAAAAGACGAAAGCGAGCACTGCGTGATCCTACATTTGACTTAAAATCAATGCTTTTAGAAGGACGTCGTGACGAACAAAGCAAGTACCAAGCTCAACAAATCGAACCTAAAGAACAAACTGACGGTGAGGCTAATAAATTAGAACAAAAACCTGATAACGGTAATATTTCGAACAGTAGTAATATTATTTGCAGAAATTGTGGGCGTGCTTATCCACACACAGGGGCATGTCCAGCGAAAGGAAAAACCTGTAATAATTGTGGAAAACCGAATCATTTCGGTGCTGTTTGTCGAGGAAAACAAAAACAAACGCGATCACCGAGATACTCAAACAAAAAGCATGAACAAAGAAATTTAAAAACATTAGATACAGGATCAAACTCGAGTTCCGATAAAGACTATTTATATACCATGACAAATACAAAGCACAATGACAAGGTCAATGTTACAGTAGGCGGTGCCAAATTTCAAACAACAATTGGCAGTGGCGCGACAATAAATGTGATCGATCGTGACACATTTAACAAAATGCAAGACATAAAATTAACTCGCACGAACACGAAAGCTTTCGCGTATAATACGAAATCACCAGTTGAATTTTGGAAAAAATCGAAGCGGTAATCGAAACACGAAAACGAATATCTGTAGCCACATTCTATGTCGCTAAAGCTGCGAACTGTGGAAACTTACTTTCTCTTGCTACTACACAAGAACTCGGACTTATTAGTTTGCATCTAGACAAACTGACATCAAAGGATGCCGCACTAGAAAATATCCTTCAAAAATATTCTAAAGTTTTTTCCAATCTTGGAAAATTGAAGGGAGAAAAGTCAAACTAGATATAGACAAAACTAAAATTCCGAAAGCACAGCCACAAAGGCGCATACCCTATCACATTCGAGAAAAAGTGAAAAACGCGATAACTGAATAAGAAAATCAAGATGTCATTGAAAAAGTGCCCGAAAATGAAGCTACTCCTTGGGTTTCACCCATTGTAGCTGTTCCCAAAAAAGACGGACAGGTTCGCATATGTGTCGATATACGGCTCGCAAATGAAGCTATAAGACGAGTACGCCATCTTATACCAACCGTAAATGATATTAGTTTTGCCCTGAATGGAGCAAAATTTTTCTCGAAACATGATTTGAGCCAAGCGTATCATCAGTTAGAACTGGACGAACAGTCTCGTTATATAACAACCTTTAGCACTCATGTAGGTTTGTATCGCTACAAAAGACTAAACTATGGTACAAACGCTGCAGCGGAGATATTTCAGTACACACTCCAAACTGCACTGAAAGGGATTAAAGGCGTCAAGAACATAGCTGATGATATCATTGTATTCGGCTCAACAAGAACTGAACATGACGCTAATCTTGACAAATGTCTACAACGACTTGCAATGAAGGGCTTACGACTAAACCGAAGCAAGTGTAATTTTCTTAGTGCCACATTTTCATTTTTCAAACAAGTCTTTTCGAAAGAAGGCACTCATCCTGATCCTAGGAGAGTAGCTGATCTATTAAATGCACCTCAGCCAAATAATGAACATGAAGTCAGTAGCTTTCTTGGCATGGTCAACTATAGCAGTAAGTACATTCGAGATTTTACAACACTAACTGCTCCCCTTCGTGACCTGACGAAAAAGGATGTTCGTTTTGAGTGGACTTAAACACACCAAACTGCTTTTGAAAAGCTGAAAAACACGCTTGCAATTGCTCCATGTATGTCATATTTCGACAAAAACAAACAAACTTTTGTAACAGTTGATGCTAGTCCTGTAGGAATTTCTGGAATTCTTTCTCAGAAACCAAGAAACGGTGACGTAGACAGTCAACAGATAATTGCATATGCCAGCCGAGCGCTGACTGATACAGAAAAGAGATACTCCCAGACGGAAAAAGAAGCGTTGGCGATAGTATGGGCAGTTGAACATTTCCATTTATTTTTATTTGGAAGTGAATTTACACTAATAACTGACCATGAACCTTTAGAAATTATTTATGGTCAACGTACAGCCAAAACATCAGCGCGAATTGAAAGATGGGTGCTTCGCTTCCAACCATATACATTTAAGATAATCTATAAATCAGGTGCCAGCAACCCTGCGGACTATCTTTCCCGCCATCCAACAAACGAAAGCAAACGAAAACAGGAGAAATGATGGAACAACATATTTATTTTATAACGAGAACAGTGTCCCTAAGCCGATGACATTACAAGAAATAATCAATGCAACTAACGCAGACGCGGCACTAACGGCACTCCATGATGCAATTAAAACAAACAAATGGGATTCCCCAATTGTAAAACCGTTCAAAGCCGTAAAAACCGAACTTACGTCTACCACACACGGTGTTATACTTCGAGGAACACGGGTTGTCATTCCTGCGGCTCTACAACAACGTGCAATAGAATAGCACATGAGACACACTTAGGAATAGAGAAAACGAAGTCTCTAATTCGTGAAAAAATCTGGTTTCCGCAAATTGACAACCAAGTCAAAAACACAATTGCTAAGTGCACCACTTGTCAAGCTTTTGAACAGGCGAATCCTCCACAACCATTACGTATGACCGAAATGCCAAAGTTACCATGGACAATTGTCCACATAGATTTTTATGGTCCATTACCATCGTCTGAATATCTTTTAGTGGTGGTAGATAGATACTACAGATTCCCAGAGGTTGAGATAGTTCATTCAACACGAGCCTCAACAGTCATTCCAAAACTTGACAAAATCTTCTCAGTCCATGGCATTCCTGACACCATTATATCTGACAATGGTCCCCCTTTTAACGGAGACAAATATGCACGATATCTGAAAGCCCTTGGTATTCAAGCTAGGTGGCCCCAAGCTAACGCTACAGTTGAACGATTCGTTAGGAAAAGCGCTCAAGACAGCGACACTCGAAGGACGACCATGGAAACAAGAATTGAACCGTTTTCTTTTACAATATCGTACCACTCCACATTGCACTACAGGAGTACCTCCATCAGAACTGTTGTTTAACCGAGTGATAAAAGGAAAATTACCAGTAATAAACAGCAAGAGGATTGTCAATTATCATAAAGAAGCTCGAGACAATGAGAAAACACGACGAGAACGCAACCGAGAATATGCAAATCAAAGGAGAAACACAAGAAAAAGTGATCTACAAGTTGGAGATTATGTACTGGTTAGACAAGAAAAGAAAAACAAGCTAACTGCGAACTTTAATCACAAACCGTATAATATATACGGTATTATCACTATAAAGAAAACTGGTTCAGAGATACTTGCCCAAAGTAAAGATGGTCATATTGTGAAACGGAACGTGTCACATTACAAACGAATAAATTAACCACGAGAATAAGACACAGATGATGAAGGTTTCGATCATGAAGAAAACTCGCAGAACAATCAGCCATCCATCAGTAATGAAAACAATGTAGTACCAAGAAGATCAAGCCGAATTCGAAGACCACCGAATCGATACGGATATGAATATCCATCAAATCTAATAAACTAACATAACAATGAAATAGCTAAATAACTTCAAATTTAATTAAACACTTTGATATTTGACAATCAAGTTAAAACAAAGGGAATGGTATAGTAATGTACGTCTATTAATCATTAACGCACGTATTA